GGTGCAGGGCTGCGAGCGGGGAGCTGGGCTGCACAAACGCGCAGGTTTCACTTCGCTCCGCGCCGCCTCCAGGTCTTGAGCTCCTCTGACCGCTCTGATCCGTATCGCCGCTACCGCCGCCGCCGGGTCCTCTCAGACGTCTGGCGCGCCCTGCCCACTGAGGCCAGCATTGCCTGGGGCTGTTCGGTTCACCCCGTCCCCGCCGCCACAACCTCAGCGCCTTCCCCTGGCCCGCGCCCCCCCAATGTCTGACTCTGACTCTCGGACTGAGAAACGCAAGGTAAATAAATACCTCCGGATTCCCGGGCGGGGGCGGGACGCGTGGATGACGGGCGCCAGAGCCACACGTTCCACCTCCTACCCGCTTCCCGCGCACGTGTTGGCCGAGACACACGCCCAGTCCCGCCTGTAGCCCGGCGGGAAGTGGCGATCCGAGCGGGTCGGGTCCTCTCCCAAGGCAATTCCACTTTGGGGAGATGTCGTCCTCCAGGAGTCTGCTAGTGCTTAGTGGAACTATGGACCTGACCGTGATGCGGCGCGCGGGGTGGTGCAGCGTCTTGGGCCGCTGGAGAAGCAGCGCGCGTTCCCCGCGCCGGCCCGGGAACCGAGGCCGCTGCGCCGTGTGAGCTGAGCGCCCGGCCGGGAAGTCGCGGGCCGAGCGGTAGGAGCCGGTCTTTGGTGCGCTGCTCGATGCCAGGGATTTGCAGAGCTGTGCTGGGGACTAATTGAGATTCGGCTTTTCTTTTCTTGTGCACATCAGGCGGAGGGTTCGGGGCAGCCGCTGCGTTCACGCTCTCGGACGCATTCGGGTCCCTGTCCCGTCTGCGATCGCTCTGCAGACCTGCCAGGCTCCCGAGCCAAGGACAGCGAGAGACCAAGGCCTCCTCCTCCTCCACCACCGGGGCCACACGGTGGACGAGCGCGGGCAGCAAACCTGCTCCGTCCGTGGGGCCGGTCGGGTAGTCTTAGCGACTCGGGCGTGCCCAAGCGCAGCCCGACTCCTCGCGATGCTGCTAGAGGTGCCCTGCCCTCGGGCTGGCCACTAGGATTTGGTGCTTGACCACGGCGCTCGGGGTGGAAGAGGGAGGAAGTTGGAAAGGATGAGTGCAGCG